TCCTTGTTGCCTCTTCATCCAAGGATTTCTCTTGTAGGGTGAGGATTCAAGAGGCAGGTTAGATTTTGGTAGTGTGCTGCCTTTCATCAAAGGAAGAATCTGTCCTGCCAGGCCCCACCTCCCTATCATACTTCATATTATATACTTCCATTGAATTGCTTTCTATTTTTTGCAGTGTAAATGTCAAAATGCAAAGACAAAGCAGAGGAAGGAGAAAAAAAATCGCAGTCATTAGTGTTGTGTTTGAGAATTTGGCATTTTATTCTGGAAATTACCTATATAATTTACCTATATAATTTACCTTTAAAAACTTTTTTGAAGCTCAAATCTAGAAAGGTTAAGAAGCTGGATGATTCTAACTTCATCACTAGTATTCCCATATTGCAGCAGTTTTCCAGTTTCCTTGACTAAATTTGCATATTAGCTAAAAATTTAATCTATATAGTTAAGAACTTGTTTTTGGATATACAGGGCATCAAGACAATGTAAGTTTTTGTTGATGTTGCCATTCTTTGTTAATTGCTGCTGAAATTTTTTGAAACTTTCCCCTACAAACCAAATTACTAGTAAAGAATACTGTTAAAGGTTAACTCATATTGTAGATGGCTTTGAAAAACATTATAATTTGTCTATAAAGTGGTTAGTCTGTATAGTCTCAGCTCAATCTTCATTTGAAATAAAGGAATTTATGTGGTACCAGAATCTAGCACATAACCCTTTTACTTATTTTTCAGTAATTTACCATCTATCCTGTAAGATTACTACTATAGTAATATATGGTAAGTTCATGAAAAATTGGGTAAAAGTTTAGAAAAGTATTAAATTCATTATACTAAATGCTCCTTAAAAAACACATCATGGGATGGGACATTGGACTTAGTGGTTAAGATGCCTGCATCCCATATCAGAGTACCTGCCTTCAGTGTCTGACTCCAGCTTCCTGCTAATATAGACCCTGAGTGGTCGTAATGATTGTTCAAATAATTGGGTTCCCCATATGGGAGACCTGGATTGAGTTTCAGGCTCTGTCTTTGGTCAGGCCCAGCCCCATTGCAGACATTTGAAGAGTAAACTAGTAGATGGCATCTCTCTCTCTCTCTCTCTGCTTGCCTCTCAAATAAATAACAAAAAAAAAAAAAAAAAAAAAGCCAGATTTTGGTCCAGCAGTTCAAGTCCTGCTCAAGAGCCCAAGAAAGCAGCAGATGATGGCCCATGTGCTCAGGCCCCTGTCCCCGTGTGGGAGACCCAAATGGAGTTTCTGGTTCCTAGTTTTGGCCTGGCCCAGCCATGACTATTGCAACTATTGGAGAATGAATTAGCGGATGGCAAATGGAGCTCTCTCTCTCTCTCTCTTTCTCTTTCTCTACTCCAATGCTGTGCCTTTCAAATAAATATCGAAAATAAGCAAACACCATGCCTTGTATCTGTGAATCGCTGTGCACAATGGGCTACTGGGCTGCACTGTGGGCTGAGTTCCCCTAAGCTTGGTCCTTGTTACATCTTCTGTAGATAAGTCACTGGATCTTTCTGCACTTGAACTTTTTCAGCCAAGGAGGTAAGGGTACCTGCTCTGACTGCCCCAAAGTGTCATTTAAATGAGCTGCTAAAACACAATATCTTAAAAGAAATTTTTCAGTGTTAACATCTGTGTCACCCAATGTCTGGATTAGACTAAAAAGTGGGCTCCCCCACATATTTGTTGAGTAAACTACAAGAAGGATTTTTGAAAATAGAATGATCCTTTCCCCCAAAGTTCCAATGTTTAAAGGTAAATCCATTCTTTTTTATGTCTAAGTCTTTTTATATATTTTTAATTTTTATTTTAATTTTAATTAGTTTTTAACATTCAATGTGATTTATTGATACAATTCTAAGAACATAATTATGTTTCCTTCCTTCTTCCCTCTTTCCATCCTACATTTTTCCTTCTCCCTTTTTTTTTTTGTTTTTGAGAGAATATATTTTAAATCCACATGACAGTAAAAAGAATTCCTACTTTATTTAACAAATATTTATTAAGTACCAGCTATATAAAGATATTCTATTGGGTCCATTAAGAAGTGCAAAGACTGATTCAATGTGTATTTGGGGTCGAAGAGTTACCATATAATATCTAAGTGTTAGAAATAATGTGACTTCTTTCTCTCCACCTACCTTTTTAACCTCAGGTTCAAAACATACAATTGGTAGACACAAGGTCCTCAATTGTCATCTTAGTGGAGTTTGGACAACCACTCAACTCTTTCCTCAACAGCTTTCTCATTATCAAGGTCCCTAAACGAAAGGAGAAAGCATAGAGAGTGGAACATTGTAATGGCTTGTTCAGCTTCAGTCATTACTACTAAAGATGCATAACTCATTTCAATGCAAGAATAGCCACATTTGCCACAGCCCTGGCTTCCAGTGCTCAGAATCTATTTACAATTAAAGGAATGCATCATTGTTATGTGTTAGTCTTTCCCTTGTAGTGTAGCCTGTTAGAAATTATAAGGCAGGATGCAGGGAAGGGCTGTGTATCTGAGCAGCATATTTTTGCCTTTCTCTACTAGACAAAACCCATGGCTAATGTCAGTCCAATCATTCCACTTTTTGTTAATATTTGTGCTGGCTGAACACACCCAGTTTCATTACAAGCTCTTTATGTGCTTTAAAACAAATTAGCATTCGTTGCCCCCATTTAACTGCCAGAGCAAAGAGCACCCCAGAGAGGTTAAGAGACTTCCGCCCCAGCGCTCAGCACAGTCACAAGGGGAATAGGCTCACACTCTTATCTCCTCAAGGTCTCTCTGGCTCCAAGCTCATTTACATGACATTTTTCTTACTTCAAAAAAAAATCTTAGATTTCGTATGATATCATTCTCTGGCAAGGTCATTCATTTTTATATGTGCACTCCCTAACTTTCATATGTTGTTGTGAAACAAGGATATGTCAAAGCAGGGCTGTTTTAGGGAACAGGCTCTTGTTTCATAATTTGGCTTTTGTCAAGTGATTCATCATGTCTTTTTAGTAACCTTTAGACACAGGGATGGCAACTGCTGTCCTTTGCTTATTTTCCTCAGTCCAGTGGATACACTGAGCAAGATTACTGTGCAGCAGAAATTGAAGAAATTTCATCTCCTTCTCCTTTCCCCTAAACATTTTCCATTCCCTAGTCATTGCTAAAATCACCTTAGAGCTCAGAGATCAAGCAAGATGTTGAGATGTGTTCCAGATCTTCAAGTAGGTGGGAAACTGAGTCCACGACTCTTTTATCCACTCTGTCACTATCCTGACCAATGCTTTCCTGTGCAGATCGCTGCTGACATGCCTAGCTAGGCTGATACAGGATGGCAGTGACACAGTATTCAGTGACCCGGGTCTGTTTTGAGCTGTTCAGTTGGTGTTCCATCCTAGCTGAGAGCATCCTCAACTTCCGGTCAGCACACACTTCTTCGAGTGGTGCTTTCACTTTTGGATGACTGTGCAGTACGTGGCATCCAATCTTTTGTGTGTGTGAGTGTGTGCATGTGTGGGTTTCAGTTGATATTTACTTGGCTAATTTGCATGGAATCTTCTAATTCCAATAAACAGAAGTAAACTGTGTGTTTCCCTGGTTAACTGTATATGCAAAACCCAATGAGTATAATGAAGTAGGGAAGCAGATTTTTCTCATTGGCCTTTTGAGAATGATGCTCTTGTGTTGATTAGGGCTTTAATGTGGCCAAGCAATCTTTGTGTTACCATTCTCCTTTTGAGATTCTGCTTCAGGTGAATTATTCTCTGATTTACAGGAACTCTGGTGAACACAGAGTTAAAATATCTCCAGATCCACCCCCCCCCCCAACTCTATCCTCTGCATCCATGACCCAGGGTGGGGCTAAGGGTCTTGACCTTGTCACTCTTCCTGAGCACAAGAGGAGAGGAACAGATGAACCCAACTGTGAATGCAGTGTCCCAGAAAAGAGAGGCAAAAATCCTTTTTAGCACGCTGACCTCTCCAGATCTTTCCTTAGTCATCTGCAATGCTTGCGATAGTTGGTAGCAAAAGGAAACTGTGAAATTGGTTTTGCTATTAGGTGTATAAGAGAAAGGTAAATGAGTTGTTTATTTTTCTCTCCAATTTTTTAAGGTGGTAATTAGGGGAACTAACACCAGCCAGGCTTGAGCGAATGCAAACAAGACCCCTATAGGCAGCACAGTGTATTAGTGTAAAAATATGCCTAGACAACATAACTTGTCAGAGAGGATTATTTCTACTTACTGAATCTGCAGGAGCCCCTTTGCTCCTACTATTCAGCATTTGACTAGAGAAGAGAGTGTGTGTGTGTGTCTGTGTGTGTGTGTGTGTGTTGGGGGGGTAGAGAGAGAAAGAGAAAGAGAGAGAGGAGAGGGCGCATTAGTGAGCAGCGACTGTGGCATTGATGTTTGAGCGCACTTCTGAACTGGCTTTTGTTGAGACTATCAGTGTAGAAGGCATGCGCTGTCCCAAATCCGCTGTTACTATGAGAAATGAGGAGCTGCTTTTAAGGTATGTTGTTGTGTCCTTTGTTTTTAATGTATGCTTTCCTAGTTTCTGGAGCTGGCCAAGACGATAATCATACTCCGAATGAAGTAGCTTCCTTATCCTAGAAGAGAAGGGGGAAAGAAAAGAATCTAAAAGAGAGAGGGGGAAACGGAATCGAGACCAAGAGATTGGGAGAAAGAGAGAGCGAGCTAGAGAAAGGAGCAGGACTGCTGTGTGCGAGTTCTATTTGTACTAGTTGCCTTTTGAAAGCAGATCATGTATTTGCTCGCCGCTATTCATGAGTGGCCAGTGGATAATTTGAAGGGCTCTGAATCTGGCACTTGGTTTGTCTTTTCCTTTGCAATGTCTAAGGCTCTTTCATTATTATGCATTCTGCATGGAATAATCGCCGAAAAAGGAGCTGAGGAGACTCCATATTAGACTTGCATTCCAAATACCGCTCTAATCTGGACTTAGCCTACCTAAATAGTCCTCCCGGGCTACCAGGTTTGGATCACTTTATCCTGTTTGCCAAAATGTGTACCTGCTCGAGACCTCTGTTCATGCATGGCGTCCTGGGTCCCCGTGTTTGGCAGGGAAATATTTGTTTCCTGCATCTGTGTTGGGGTTCTATCACATACCAAGGAGGAGGCACCACTGACCTTTCGGAAAGCAGAGAGAGAATTATGATAGAATTGGCATCCTGCTTTGAAAAATGTAGTCTTTTGTTTATTTGCTAGCAGACATCGTAGCACTGAATACATCTTTGGGGCTGACAATGGGACCGGGTGAACAATGGAGCTGTCAAACTAGCTTAATGCATGTCTGGGGCTTTTGCTTTTCTTTTTTTCTTTTTTAACACCCTTTTTATCTCCTATAATCTTGTTTGTATAGATGGTACAGAATGAAAAGCTTTTATAGCTGCTTGTTTGTGTTTTTATGCTTTTAAAAATTTAGTATCTACAGTTCATGGAGCTCTTTACATTTTGCAGCTATGTTGGTTGGATTAAGTTAGAGATTTATTGCTTACCTCTCTGTTAACTAAAGAAAAAAAAACTTATTGATTGAGAATGCTTGTAATGCCGTTATCATTCTGGCAAATACCTTATGATTAGACCCGACTCTATACTATGGAATGCTTGGGGATTCTGAATTTGCCATTTGATGAACTTATGGGACGTGCCATAAAAGAGAAGTTAAAAGGGATATTTTTAATGTTTAAGTACATTATAATTTATAGTCTGAACCTCCCCCTTTGGGCATCCATGTAGATAAAGAGTAGAGAAATTCAAGGACAAGTGAAGACTTTTTCCCATCACAATTTTGGTGGCAAATTATTACTATACAGCCTATTAAGTTGTTAAGTAAAATTTGGTCTCTGTGGGATATATTGATTTTTGATTTATGCCTATATCCTCATAAAATGCATTTCTACTCAGGAAAAATGTTTCTCACCTCTTCAAATACCTTTCATTTTGTAAGATAAACACTCATTTCTAGGGTGAAGGCAGTGAGAATTTAGAAAGAGAAAATAGAAAAATCTGTTTCAAACTTCTCAAATATTGAAACCAGTCTTATTTCCACATTAGAGGTAAAAGAACTGGCCCTTGAATACTGAAGGAAAACTGATTGACAAGAACATCATCCTAAGGCTGATTTCCATGAAGAATATATCTTATCTAATGTTTTGCTTAATTAGCTGCTTGTGACAAAACAATATATCAAAATGCATTAGTAAACTTGGAAAGATTAGGACTTAATTTTAAATAACAGAAAGAAGTTCGCTTTAAAAGGTAAATTTTTGAAAAATATATTGAGTTGCAGGTGTTTCCTTTTGGATTATATTTTAGTGCAAATTTGTGATGTCCCCAGTAAATAAGGAACAAGATGTATTACTTGGGAAAACATGATTTGGAAACATTAGCTATTTTTAAGAGTTTGAACATGAATTTCAAAATGTTTAATTTCAGCTGAAATGTTATGAAATATTTAATGCAGAATTACTGATACAAATGTGATCACCTTCTCAAGTACTGACAATATTGACAATATTTTTAGAACCAAGCTGCACCCAAAACATACATATGTGGTATAATAATATTTTTAAAGTTATCCATTGTGAAGGGAGAAGATTTTAAATGCATACTTATTTTCTCTCACTTCCTATGGGATCTGAACTGCTGGTTCCATCGGGTATACGTATAATTGCTTTTAGGATGAGCTCATAAAAAGTAATTGGTGAAGCTTTGGATCTGAGACTGACCTGCCGTTACTAGCACACCCAGATTCTGCTTTCATGGGAAATTTCTATTCCAAGACAAAGGTTGCCAGCTGATTTCTTGTGAATTTCAAGAAAGTCGTCTGTCCTCTCTAGCAGCTTGTCATTAGCCCATTTCAATAAAGAAATCTCCTGGAAACCTCCATGTTGAATTTTTGACTGAATTACCAATTATTTAACTGTGATGTATTCATTTTGATTTCCTGGGTGATCATAGTTAGGTGCAGAAACAAGGGGAATCTCTTCTTACTTGGCTTACTTCTCTGTTGATTTGATCCATTACCAGCTTCTAGAATTTGGACGACCCCACCCCACCCCACGTTCCAGCATCCATCAAACAGCTGTCTTTTCCTTTAACCTGAGGGAAAAGGTGTGAGATTCCCAGGAGTTGGCAAACTTGTCTACATGTATTTCCACAATAGTAACAAGATCTGTAATCTGTATCCTGCTACAAGCTTCTGTTGTGATGATCCCACTGGATGGAGTGACCGAAACAAATGTCAAAATAAAACTTCATTCTAAGCCCCAACCTGCAGAAAAGAAATCGCAGAAGAGTCAAACTGGGACAATGGTTCCTTTCAATAGAGAGTAATGACTGCTCTCAAAGTCTCTTCACACAGGAGCCTAGGGAATATTCACGTAGGGGTATTCAGCAGACCACAGAGTGAGATCTGTAATCTCAGTGCATTAAAATTCTCTTTTACTTGTTAAAATGAAAACTGACCGTTTTTGGTTTTGAAAATATAAGTATAAACAATTGCAACTATCTTTCTGGGGCTGAAAAATAAAGAGGAATGTTTTATTAATATTCATATCTAGAACTTTTAGCAAGTGTAGATTGTGCTTGTATACCTGGGAAGTGATTCAAAGAGTGAATCAATACTAATTATTGTAATCAGGGGGGTTAATTAGGTGAGAATGTGGCTGCTGCAAAGTTCATTGCTCACAGCCCTGGAAACACCCAGGTTGATGAAAAGAAAGGTGAATTCAGAAGGAAGGATGTTACGTGGGAATGATGGCTCTGTAGTTCAGGCGTCAGAATTTGTAGGTGAAAAACATACCTTGATTTTTTATAATTGTGGTAGTGAGGGCATTAGGAAATCCAGCTTAGTTTCTGGTGTAGAGATTTCTGTGAAAGTCATTAACAGAATACAATTTGTTTAGAGGCATCTTCTGCTCCATAGCATTTATCTGTACTTCTCTGGGGAGGGTAACGAGTTCACTCAGCGGCAATAATGCCTTTCTGTAGCATGTTTATTAGCCTTTACTGCATTTCTGTCTAACATTTTGGTAATTCCTGGGGAATGCGTTGGAGAGGATGGGTCCCATTTCATAAAACTATCAATTGCTTCCCTAAGTGTCATGGGGTTTGGGAGTTTTTCTTAACTACCAGTGACTTTTATTTTGTAGACAAGACAGAGATGTGGAGGGGATTAAAACTTGTTGCCTTTTACCTAGCTGATATTGGGAAGAGGGTGTCTGAGGAGGGAAGACATGGGTGAGAGTGCAATGCTGCTACTCATTCAGAATTACAAGGAAGTGTGCATTCCAGAGCTCAAGTGCTTGTCCGATCAAATGGCATCTACCTACAGATATTAGACTAAGATGGAAGCAAGATGGGAGAGGAGGAGAAAGGGGGAAAGAGAGAGAAAGGGAGAGGGAAAGAGACTGAACATGCAGTAAACTCAGAGATGTGGCTGCCTAACCTTGGTCTGGGATGAAGTATACTTTGTTCCCAAACTTACCCTTCAAGGAATGTCATTAGTGATTATCACCTACAAGTGTGCTGATCTTGACCTCAGATTTCTTCCGTGTGATTTTCCCTGCATGTCAAGACTGTCCAAGTTCCCAGGAAATGGCCTCTGTGGAGAGAAGGTGACACAAGCCCAGAGTGACATGTGTTCTGAGGGCAACATGAGCTCCTGCCACCTCAGCCCGTTTGGGTTGACCTGCCCGTGATTGGCTGTTCAGGATGGTGATGAATCACTGGGGTTTATGAAGCCGGGTTGCCAGCATTCCCCCGGAGAAAACTTAAACAGATTTTCCTGCAAAATGACTAATTTCAACAAATGTTGTCGTTAGGGTGAAGAAAAGCTTGAGGTTTAAAGTTATGAGGCTGATACACCTGCAAGATTGGTGGCATTTTTTTCCCATCCTCTTCTTAAGAAAGCTTGCAGCTGAAGTCAGTAAAAGCTCTGGGTTGGAACTTACAGACAGCATGGCTGGCTTCTAGCAGGTGTGTGCACTGCCTTGCCTGGGCATAGCTGATTCTCCACGCAGAAACCAACAAGCTGCTCTTTACCACTGCTGGAAAACTGTCCAACTCAGTCACACCAGGGCTTCAGGCCCTGCTATGTTTCTCATGTCTTGCTTATTGAATGCATTGGTCTGGGACTCCAGCTCTCTTTTGGGGTGTGTAAGGAGTTTACCTGCACATTTATATATGCTCTAAGATCCTGGCTGTAATTGAAACTCACTAAGTTGGTGGTGGGTGATAGGACCTCCTGGCCCATCAGTGAGAACCCATTTTGACCTTGTCTTTCATAACTGACTTGATAAAAGGACATGGGAACCACATTCCACACCCACAAGCTCTAAGCCTGCTCTCCATAAACCTTAACCTTTCTCTTCCCTCAGGTTTGGTTGCAGAGCCTAGATTTATCAGTGAAAACTCCAATGCTACAAAGAATAATAGGGTGAAAACTAGTTTTCTCTTGTTCCAACTGCCTGTTCTAATTTTCATCAAAGATTAGGAGGGGGGAATGTTAGGATAGAATTAAGAAAAAAGGATAAAATTTACTAATGGTTTATTCTATGTCTAGCACCACACTTTGTGGTTACTTTTATCTTGTATCATTTAGTCCACAAAGATATCTGAAAGTCAGTGGTAGGTGTTATTCCCATTTCAAAGGTGAAAAAACTCGGACTGAGAGGGGTTAAATCATGGGCCCATAGACACATAGACCTGTGGTGGTTGGGACTGGCACTTTGGGAACCATAGCTTCCTCTGGTACTGGTTTCTACTTTAGGCTTTGGTTAGTGCAAGCCTCCTAGTTTTTACCAGCGGACAATTCAGTAAGAAGCCATCATCTAGGATCTGTGGTCAAACCACTGCTCAGAGGTTAGCATTTCAGGTGCTCAGGCCTTCCTAAATTACCGTGTGTTTAACCTTCCTTACTGTCCAAAGCTGTTTGGGGAAGAGTCTCGGAAAAATGGAGAATGGTGATGAAAGAGAAAGAATTGGGGAATAAGAAAGGCAAAATCCTTGAAAGCAATTTTAGCTCCTGAGTTCTAACTTCTCTCTGTGTCTTTACTTCATTGTTCGATCTTGGAGCATCCTATGCCTCACTTCTCATGGGCTTTTATCTGTATAATGGGAACAAACATTGGAAGGGATATATTTATATTATATATATTTATATTTTTCAAGCATTATGAGATGAAAATGTGGATTTTTATGTGTATCAATTTCCAAAATATGCTATACTGCAGCCCATCAATCAAGCAACAAATGTATGTATTGTGTTCAATAAAAGTCCTCGCTTGGGCCCTCAAGCAGCTCACAACACTCATGGGACAACAAGAAAACAGTGGGTGAGAAGGCATCCAGTGTTAAATTGCAGAGAAAAGGGAGTTGAACTGGGCCTTGAAGGAGGAGCAGCGTGGGAGGAGTGCAGACGAAAGGGAAGATGTCATTAGAACACCAGCGTTTATGTTTGTTATCAAAGCAGAGCAAGACAAAACCCTTGCCTTAATCACCTTCCTTCCTCACACCCCACAGCCATTCACATCCCTCCTCTTGAACCTTGCCATTTTCCTATGAAATAGGGCAAATGCTGCTATTAACATTAACAGAGCATGGAAGCACTCAGCAATAGAGAAAAGACATAGCACATTCTCTCAACTTGGGTAGATAGAGCTATGCCACATTTCCATGAAGATTTGGGGTAGTTCTTTTTAAGAAAAAGGAAAAAAAAATTCTCCTAATAGACTTCATGGGAATTAGCATCAAAAGCAAATTTAAATAAAAAGCCATTTGGGATTTTCAAAAACCTCTTTCACTGCCTAAAAATGGCTAGAGATTTGAACCATATTATAGGGAAAAAAATAAATTTCCTGTGCTCAAAACCTTGATGTATTTTCAACCTACATGTCACTTTAATAGCTTGGTTATATAATTGCTGTAGTAATAACTAGGTTAACACATTGTGCATCTCATCTGAGGATCACGGTAGGCTTCGGTTTTTCAGCCATTCATCCATACTAGGAAGTAGTAGTTGTGCATGAGACAAAGGTCTAGCTGGTGAATCATAAAATTAAATCACCTGGCCCCAGTGTCAATCAACTCATGAACATAATAAAGTGCAGAATCCAACAGGTTTGGTTTATAAATTCCATAATCTTTTCACTCGTTTGAAAGTAGCATTTGTCCCACCGTCTGATCTGCACACACCAGATCATATGTCTTCCGTCCTGGTAGCTAGAAGCTGTTTGGTGGGGATCAGTTATCTTTGTGAGTAAAGTGGATTCGTGCGCTTTGTTTTACAGAAACCCTAGCTTTTGCTCTCTTAATCCTCACTCTTTTCCAAGATGTATTTTCTTCTTCAGAAAAAGCAGAGACATTCAGGCCAATGGGGCTGTTAGGCTGTTACGACCCCACAGAGTCCTTCTTAAGTTGCAATTTTCATTCTTGCCAAGATCTGTCCCAGACAACCACACCCAAAAGCTTAGACTGTTCAATTCTTCTCTTTCTGCCCCACCTGTTGCTTCTTTCTCTGGGACCTAATGTTATGCCCTAAGTGTGTCCTCCCAGCTGTTGCCACTCAGCTGTTGCATTTTGTCAAACAGTGCTTTCTCCCCACCCCAACCCCCCCCTTTTTTTTTTAAAGTTAACAACACGTGACCATAAGATAAGCACCTTTGGCCCTTTGGGAAGACTATGTGGAGAGGGTAGGGGTGTTGAAGGGTGGATTGTGAGACAGTTAAAAACCTCACTTCGATAAGTATAAATTGTGCTCCTGCCGCCAAGCTGGCACCAGATAAGGGCACCTGGTATAGTTGGACAAATCTTCCAGAGGGAACTGAAACATTGCTTCTAAGAACTGTTTTTTTTTTTTTCCCCCAGAGTGCCTTCCATGTGCAAATCACTGTGCTAGACAGGGAAGCCTTTTTTGTCTCCCCGCCCTTTCCCTAGGCTTCTCCTTCTCAATTTTCACATCCTATTTACTCACTTCATGGTCCACAGTCTTGCCTCCTCTCCCTCCTCCCGCTCCTCCCCCTCCTCCTCCTGGGTAGTGTCTGGAAAGGAATCCCACTGTTCAATGCAAAGACAGCTGTTCCTAGTTCAGAAATCAGCCTTGGTCAAGGCAAGTCAAACTCGATTTCTCTCTCGGATAAAGCAGCCCACCACCCCTCGCTTCTCTTTGGTAGTCACCAACCTCCACAGACACACAGCTGTGGAGGAAAGCTTCAGACACTGACTTCCATTTAAGAGAGAACGGGCAGAGAGGAGAGACAAAGCTGTTGCAGTGGTATAATGGAGAAAGGACAAAAAGAAGGCAAGGGCAAGTTAGGGAGGGAGATGATGAGATGGTTGGGCTCTGGGTCTGAGAGATCCAGGGCGTTCATATTGCACCCCCTTGGAATGGAAGCTTCTGAAAATCCTAGAGGGGCGTCTCAGGAGCATGTTCGCAGGTATGTATACAAAGACCCCCGTTCAGCTGGAGTGCCTCTGCCGAAGGAAGATAGACTTACCATCTTGTCTTTTGGCTCTCTTAAAAACAGATTCAGAAAAACACAAGACTGCAAAAAGCCAGTAGAAGCTATTCTCAAGGGACAGTGACTACTTAATATTCCCTTAAAAATGTAAAATAAGAGTTTAATAACTAATTCATCTTTATAGGCATTTAATTTGGCTTAAATCATTTTAGAAATGTGATAAAGTCACTATTCCAGAGGCTTTCAAAATGGAGAAAAATAAGCGCTTGTTTTAAACTTACGATTGGTGCTATAAATATTTATTTTTATGTGATACCTTTATGGAACCAAGAAAAGATGCATTTATGACGTATCACTTAAGGATTCGTTTGGGTGTTTTCTTAAAACACATCTTTAAAAAATCAGTTTATTTTTGCAACTTGCTAATGAAATTGGAGTAAGCCAAGAACAAACACATGGCCACAAAGTCAGATACTCTCTCAGGTACTTAAAATTCATGTGGATTTCAAATTTATTGCCGGGAAATGATCGGAAATTCCCTGAAAGCATCTGTATTTCTTGCTCCAAATGGCTCTGAACACTCTGGGCTTTTTTTGTTTTTCAACTGAAACAGCTATGTTAATATATTGTGAATTTGAAAGCGTGATAGGGGAAAGATGTTTTGAATTCTGGAGTGTGATGAGTAGCCAGAAGTTGGGGGGTAGGGGGGAGGCAAGACAGGCTTTTTGAGTCTTCAGTGCAGCCCTGATCCATCTTTGTTTTGTAATTTCATTGTTGATAGCTACTGCTTTTAAAGAGATTTCTATTTGGGAAGTTTTATATATAAAGTTAGGATTATACAATCATAAAAAATGGAAAATTTGTCCAAATACAGGGGGTTGTGTGCAGGAGAAGAAAATTAACTCTTTGGTTATAAACACTAATCACAATATGTCAGGCTTCGATCTCCATGGTGTAAACTTTGCAAAAATATTGAAAGAATATAGATGGGCTATATTCTGGTTCATTGATTGAATGAGGTGGGAGGAAGAGAACTCTTCCAATGTGTACTTGATGCACAAATGCATTTATTAGCAGTCTGTTTCCATTGAGAGCTTTTTTTTAAGTGTTAGTGATAATTCAGTGCTCAAACAATAGTCATTGGACAAAACTGAGCGAGCATGAGGGATGAGGAGGGAAGTGAGGCGCTGAAACAGCACAGAGCACTCACTCCCCTTGGAAGGCCCCATATAAAATGAGGTCATTCAGGAACTTTCCCTTGAAGTGCTTCCAATTCCTGAATTGCCTTTTGTTTGGGAAATGAATAGCAAGTTGATTAAAAAAGAGAGAGAGAGAGAGAGAGAGAGAGAGAGAGAGAGAGACAATTAGGGAAGGTAGGGGGATGGGACCAGAGAAGAGCTTAAGGTTTTTCTACAATGGGGTTAAAACTATGAGGAAACTTCATTGTTCCCCACAGGCCCCAGCCCCAGTGATGCCAACACAATGCGTTGTCACCAACCAGTTCCTGTCCATGAGACAGGCTTGCTGACGGCCTTGTCCCCTCTCACTGCTGATGATAAGATCCTGGGCTATAAAATAGCCTCATTGAACCCAAGTGTTCAGCAGTGGCCCAGTGCACTGTCTGCCAGATGACTCCAAGTGCCAAAACATGATACCTGATGGCTCATTACTGCAGGAAAATTTATAAAGGACCCCAATGCGTTGTTTTTAGGTGTTTTCCCCTTCTGCCAAAGCAGTGAAATGAGAAATTTAAGCTTTTCATCAGGTGGTATTTGGTTGGGTGTTTGTGTTTTGTTTTCATTTTTAAGCTCAAGAGCATTTGGAATTTATATTTTTAAGAAGAGCTATTGTGTATGTGCTGTGATTAAGGACACTGAGGAGATATTAGAGATGAAGCTACAACTGGAAGACTGTTGTGTATAATCTACGGGGCGTGTGCACGTATGCAGATTTCCTTCTCTCTGGCACCTACATCAGGTGTCCATGCAGTCACTACATTATTTATGTCCTTGGTAGCCACAGTATTTAAATTCAGCTGCACTTCATATTTAAACTCAGCTACACTTCGTAAGCTTCCCTTGCGTCACGTCAGCATATCATGTGCTGTGAGTTTTCTTTTATAGGTGACCCTGGTTTTGCTTCTAACTTTAAATGGTAAAAGCAAATGTGCTTTGAAAACTATGCTACACTGTAGTTGTTAAATAAGGCAATAACCTATGCACTTGTAATTCTCTCTCTATGACCTACTTACATACTACTTCACCCTCCTTATAGTATGATTAAAAGCTGCTTTGAATCCACTATTGCCTCAAGGGATTTGAGGCTAGAATTTAACAAACTGCTGAGAAGGCTTAAGTCAGTAAGAGGGCTTCCCTACAGCTTCTTCTAACTAATTCACATGCAATTAAAGAGAAAATAAATATTTCAGAAGTGTACATGTTAATGAAGCATGTTCTACCTTATAGAACGTAGCTATGTCCAAAGCTTTATTCCACAGCTGATTGGAAAACATTTCCATTTGATCAACATGGTCACGTTTTGGTTCGGTTGTGGAGGCCATTTCACTCATTCTTTCTAAAGCAAGTCTGTTATATAGTCAGGCCATAATGTACCTTAGGGATTTCTGCAAATAATATATGGAAAAACAAGAGCTGTCAAGGTTTGTCTTCATTTATCCAGCTAATTACTTTATCAAGATAATTGAAGACCAATGAAAATCTTTTAATTTCAAAGGCAGTCAGCAGTAGCTGGAGTTGGGAGTAAATATAGTTTAGTATCAGGAGAAGTTGGGTATTTGTGGACATAAGAATTCATTTTATTGGAACTGTTTCTTAATCCCTTATAAGCCTACAAACTGGCTCCTCAGGAAAGGTAATATTCTCAAGTGAAGGTTTGTCTCGTTTTATATCTCGCTGTCTTGGAATCCGAAGGTTAAAAAGCCAGATACATTGTTCAGCTGAAGAAGGAAACCAAGTTAATTAAATGTGTAGACCTAATTAAGTATTTCAGGTTGGCTACTGCGTAATGCTCAGTCCATCAAGACTGTACTTAATATTGATAATGCAGATTTAAAGTTGACAGGTAAAATCTATTTTCCTTAATAACGTCTGAAGGTAGCACATGATCACAGAAGAAATTGGTGAGAAAAAAATCAAAACAATCTTTTCTCCATATTGTGTCTGATACACTTAATTACTGGTGACTTTATCTAACCCTCTGGCTACCGTGACTGTATTCCCAGGCGTGCCTTGATCTGTGAGGAGAAGGCCCAGCTCCATAGCACAACTAGAGCGAAAATCAGATTTTTTTTTAAATGAAGTCGTAATCTCTGTGTATAAACTATGATAGCATCTATTGCATTCGTGTGTGTATGTATGCACACTTGAGTGGCATTATCTTTGAAGTTTAAGATACTTCATGACACAATAAAACAAAAAGCAATGGTTTCCAAAAGGGGCGAACTATAAACCTCTGGGACACAATTTATGAAGCCGATTTGGAATGTGACATATGCCACCAAGAAGTTTCACAGATTGGTGAATACGTGGTGAACAACCAAACAATGAGAAAGCTAAATTAGAATGTCACTTTATAAATGACTTATCTTTCAAAAACTTTCCCAAATCACTTGGGAAAATTAAACTCTCCCGCTTCTGTTCAAGCCCTGTGCCATTTTTCTCAGCATTCTTATTAGTGCTCATAAATCAGTCAGAAATCTTAAGTGGGCATTTAAGCTCACGGCCATTACACTGTAGACCTAACAGTCATAAAGTCTTACCCTGTTGGTTTTTAATTATGATGTGAAATCCTCGGAAATGACAGATCTCATGATTTATCGTTTTAAAAGAAAAGATGATTTATTACTGTGACTTTCAGTCTCTCATCCTTGGTACTGGGTTCAAGATGATGCGAAAGGCAGGCAGTTGTACAGAGACGGATTAGTCCTTCTCCTTAAAGCACTGCTCCAAGTCTCTGAATGTCGCTTGGGCCATTGATTCGATGTTTTCTTTGCCTACAACCACGGGCACGCTTTCGGTCATTGTTCGCTCCTACGTCCGCTGGCGAGCATCTCCCGCCAAGGAGCAGCGACACAGACACTCGTGCTGCTCCTGTCCCCCGTGGCCTCGGCTTGGGAGCGTGTTTCTGGTCTGGAAGTGAGTCAGGCTCTGGCACCACAGTGGCTCTAAGCCTCTACTACAAGTGGCCATTGCGGCCTCGTGCCAGGTGCCGTGGCAATGGGGAATTGAGTGGAGCGGAGCCAGAGCAGGGAATGAGCGAGCGAGCATTTCGGAAGCTTAGCGACCTTCGCCAAGTGTGGCCATGCTGAAGGACGGGGCGCTCAGCTCCTCCGGCTGCCAGCCGGCCGGCCGGCCTCGCCTACCCTGCTGGCTCTCTCCCCGGGGCGGCAGGGTGCGGGCCGGGGTTGGGCCGGGCGGGCCCGCAGGGGTTAAGCAGCGGCGCAGCGGGCGCCCGAGGAGCTCCGCCCCCGCCCCGCCGCACCTGGCGCTCGGCTGCCCGCCGCCTCAGCACTGGATTTCGGAGGGGATTGGCGGAGAGCGCCAGGGAGAGAATGTGACAAGTGCCCGCTCGGCGGCCGCCGGGGGAGGCCGCGCGCACCTGTCCCTGCCCGTCTCGCGCCGCCCGCGGCCGCTCGGACGCGCGCAGAGCCGCCCCCCGCCCGAGCGCCGCCGCCGCCGCCGCCGCCGCCGCGTGCGCCCGAGAACATGACTTCTGCCTTCAAGCTGGATTTCCTCCCGGACATGATGGTCGAGGGCCGCCTGCTTGTTCCTGAGAGAATGTGAGTAAAGCCGGCAGGGCCGAGCGGCCGCGCGGGCGTTCTCTCCGCTCCAGAGCCGGCCGGCGCTGTGCGGCGCGGCGCGAAGGGGGACGGGTGGCGCTCGCGGCTGCGGGACGCGTGCCGGCCGCTCCGGAATCCGCCGCCTCTCTGAGCTTTCGGAAGCCAGCGCTGGACGCGG